AAAGCAACCTAGTCCGGCCAATACCTGCACTTCAGCAGCTTCACACCAATGCGATACAAGCGGATCCTTGTGAAAACTTTAGTTAGTCGTGCTAAACGAATTTGCTCGGCTGATAGTCTAGCTGACGAGCTAAAGTTAATTACAACATTTATCGCGAATGGTCATCCCCAGAGATCTATAGAGAAACACAGCTAACAGCGGGGCCCGAAAGACTTGGTGCATAGGGCAGTCAAGAAAAAGATCTATTATCGAGTTGCCTTTCAAGGGTGACTTTACTGTATCGAAACCCCCAAACGGTTAATCTCTGCTATGCAGAAAAGTTACTGTGCCGCTCAGGTACCGGTCATCAATAGAACACGTAACTTACCGGTGCCTCACACGAATGAACCTCAACCGATCGGGCCCAACTCACACTGCATACATAAATTACTGTGCGGCTGCGGAGACAGTTACATAGGCAGAACCAATCGGTCTTTGACTTCCCGAATAAACAAACACGTGCCAAGGTGTGTTCAAGATAAAGTTCCGTGCTAGCGTAAGCCGCCAGCTTCCTCAAGAGGTAAACACCTACTGACTACGCTTGGATCAGCGTTCACACTTGTATTGCGTCACCCTAATCCCCGCTTCCTCCGTTACGCCGAGACCGTTTCGATAAACCGGATGAAGCTGGCCCTGTGTGCTCAAAAACAATTATTTGTTAGCTTAAGACTGCTGTGGACATAGGGATGGAAATTCCGCCATTCATTTTGTACCTCTTGCTTATTCGGTCACACCCATAGTTAAGTATGTAGTTGCATACCGCTTATTGTTAATGATACTGAGGAGATAATACGAAATGCATGCACCTATCAGCTTTCGTCTTTTTACAGCGTTTTTCAAAAATGACTTTGTATATTATAATATAAATAATTTTAGTTTCACTGCAAAATAAGTTTTGTGGATTCATCTGAATGCTGTACTACAGAACAGGGCGCAAGTAATATTCAAGTGAACCCGCCATTGCAAAATCAAACGGTCCCTGACATGTTCCTTGACGGATTTGGTTCGCCTCCGCTAGCAGTTAACCCACAACAGAATTGTCGTCGGAAACCCATGAAAAATGCTGAAATAATCCAAGGTGACAGTGCATCCGCAGCGAGGTCGATTCGAAACGGTCCAGAGGTGACTAGCGGAAAATTTGATGCGACAATTCAGTATAAAGCCATCATTTTTGGCCCCGGATGAAAGTGCGGTCGAAGGAAGTGCTAACAGCAGCAAGGGGTTTCATTATGAACCTGATGTTGATCTGATTTTTGAATTGTGTTTCAAACGATGCGAGAACAATTTCAAACTCAAACTGAAACACAAGGGCGACGCATGTCGGGTGAGGTTGCTGCTAAGAAAGCTCGGTACAACCGAACACACCCGATAGTCGGATTTTATTCTGTCAACGAAGACCATGGATCTCAGGTTTGACGAAACCGTCCATCAGCTATCGGAAATTTTCGGTGGGCACTCATCCTTGCTTAATACTTGTTATCAATACATGAAACTGGTGAGAAAGGAAAGCGAAGAGTTCCACATCCTTATGCTGGTAGGGTTGATCTTGAGTGTGAACAGTTCAAACTGCATACTGTTGTATCAAGAAAGCCGTAGGAAAGGTAAAATGTATCTCACAAAATTAACCAAGTACAACTGAGACAATCCCTTGTTAAACGGAGAGTCAAGCGACAGACGCACACAACCAATAGTAATGAGTCAGCAAGCCAACCAATGAGATCGAGCCAATCGATGTTGCTGACAGGGTTACCACATTATCGTTCCCCCTCCGAAAAGCTGCCTCAACCGAGTTCGTAGCGATCAATAGGTTTCACCGTTCTCGCGGACCGACGCAGCTGGCTTCGTGGTAATGGTAACTCAGCCGGGTCTTCGTGCGCGGATCGGTCGGGCTGATTAGCTGGTCCGTGAGCTGTGTGGAGTCGACGCGCGTTGACAATTAGGCCGTCCTCCAATCGATAGGTGCCCGGGCCAAGCGTACGGTCGATGCGCAGTGGAGCGGAAAGCGAAGGTGTGCCTTTCTTTGTTGCTCTGCTTTTGACGCGAACGTATGTCCCGGGCTGCATTGGTGTTGATAATTTAGCGTAGGAATTTTGGTAAGCTGCTATGCGATTTGAAACTTCGGCATCTCTCGCTGATAAAACGTTATGCCCAGCATTTAACTTTGTGCGTAAAGGCCTTCCTAGCATCAGCTCCGCTGGCGTTCTTCCGGTGGCTCTGTGGTCACGACCGAAGATAAGTTCAACTGTCTGATTGTCAAGTGCGGTCTCCAGTCACACCTAGACAGTGATATCATGTCGAAGTGACTAAACAAGATTCAGTTTTCCATGGACATTACACTACAGCAAGTTACCCACGAGTGTCAGTATGTATCCCGTAAACCTCATCTAACTCCAATTCGAATGTCACAAAGATGTGCTCTGGACAATCCCGAAAAAGTAGCACTTGCCGTAGGGAAACCACTATCCGTGTGTTAGCAGCGTGGTGATGAATGGCGTTTGTACGTTTCTGTTCATATAAGAATGAAACCTGGCCGCTTAAAGCTGAAACCTGGCCGCTTAAAAGCAGCGGACCTGAAGAGGCTAGTTACGTTCGACCACCGGTGCCTTCGTAATTTTGCTCACATCTGGTGGGAACACCGCGTGAGCAACGAGCGTGTTCGACGCCTCGTTTACGGCACAGGAAAAGGAACTGAACCGTTCAGCACCGTTATTTCACGCACCAGGCTCCGATGGCTCGACCAGGTGTTGCGCATGTCAGCCCACCGACTCCCGCGACGTGCGTTGTTTGCGCGCCTGGGGTGTGGATGGAAAAAGAGGAGGGGTGGCCAAGCGATGACTTGGTCCAGAGGAATGAAGGCCCTCACTTCTGAGCTGGCCTCGGTTGGAGCGTTTCGGCTCCCTGGTTGGGGTCTGAAAGACGATGAACACGTTTGGTTGGACACACTTGCTGATATGGCAAGGAGCCGACCTCAGTGGCGTTCGTGCTGAGTTTCTTTGTCCCACCCCATCCCTCTTAGCCTCCCCTCCAACCACGATCTCATTATTTAGCCTTATATAATTTTGCATAGTAATTTTTTTGGTGCACAGCAGCCGGCTGGTAGCTTACCGGAACGATGCCCATCCGTTACCGGTAGCTCAGCCGGCTTGCACCAGTTGCTTTTTTTCTCTCCTTTTTTTCTATGTATTGCGGCACAGTAGCTGAGGTGTTCCCCATCTGCAGCTAACGTGTAGTATGACGATGATGATGATGTTCATATAAGAAGCAAAAATGTTCAATGTGTAATCGACGTGGCTATAAAGAAAGCCAGCGTAGAACAAGGAAAAGTGTCTGGACGCCTAGGCAAAGACATCGATCAGGCAGTACATGATGTAGGACCAGAACCAAATTCAATACCGTGCTTGCAGCAACTGATCCGATTTCAAATGTCTCCGCAATTATCTAGCAGAATAAACGGAAGGACGTTCCGTTTGCAATTCGATACAGAATCTGTTATAACGGTTGTGTCAAAGAAAAGAACTTGTAAGAAAATGGGCTCACTAAAATACCAGCAAATTAATAATATGGCCAGAAACGCATCAGACGGCAAACTTCATTGGCTTGGTGAATTACATAGTGAGGTGCAAATTTCTGCTAAGCGCGAACACGGTACGATATGCAAAGCTGTTTGTGAAGTCAACCTCCTTAGAATTGACTGGATCGATCGTCGGAAACCTCGACGTGTCGATCAACAAGTCTTGTTCTTTTCGTGTAGATTCATCGCAGTTAGACACAGGCAGACAGCCACCACACATCCGGGAAAGCGCTAGACGGCCGTTTCGTCCTATTGGGAATCGTCAGTAGCGCGCACCCGGCGAATCCTGCCGGATTCGAATTTACGACCTTACTCTTGCGAGTCAGCAACTTATGTCACTGAGCCATGGGCGACGGCAGCGGACCGCCATCACTGATATCTAACTGCGATATAGTGCGGCTCATCCTCCACTGTCTTGCATGTTATGAATGTGCAGAGGACAGGGCTGGCCCCCAGAGCAACGACTTCCTGTTCTTGTTCTGCAAAACAAGCAAAATAAGGAAATTTATTTTACACATTTAAGTGAGTCCGACAGAAGTCCAGGAGGAAAGGACGGCAAAAGTAATCTTGGGCACACTACTGGAAAACCACAGGACTACGGTGAACCCGCAATTTTTGAACGACAGCTCATCCGTTGATGCCATGACGAACAGACAGCTATGTCTGGCACAATATGTGATAAAACCCATCATGAGATAGCAGCCGATTGTCGCTGCATAAACCGAGCGGTTTGGTGATCTCAAAATGCTGATGACTCATTTAGTGTTGATCTTCTAATAGGCAGATTGGTCCTGGAAAAGCCAGCCACAGTTGAAACAGTCCACTGAGATCGCACACCAAAAAAACTAGCGAAGAGGTGTAGCCTTAGCAACAAGGAGATAGCTATACCTGCCTTCTGTAACGTTCGTAACTTGCACGGCAGTGGAGGATATGACGAGTTATATGTCGCAGTTAGCTCGTAAATCATGACGGTCCGCCACAGTGGAATAAGCTGCTGACTGGCGGTGCAAGCCGTTCGTAATCCTGGGTTTGAATCCTCATAAGTTCGATGAATGAGCAGTGTTGACGAGACTCAACGTGTCGAAACGGCCGTCTAGTGCTGTTCCGGGAAGATTGAGGATTATGCGAGCTGGAGACTGTTACGAAGAAGCCCGCAACAAATTACATCAAAAATCCTTGAGACTACACAACAACAACACTAAACTTTTCAACGTAGTTGTAGAGCACCTTATTCATCGTGGGGAATTTAAATTAGTTTTTGACAGGAGTCCGGAGAGTCATAAAAATTTCAGTACGTAAATGGAAGTAAAAGGAAACATTGCAAAAAGTGTACGGTCAAACAAGAAATGTGATGAGGTCTTGTGAAAAGAAAGACAACTGATGTGCTTACCTGCCATTTTTCCCACTTCTCCGTGATGATCACGCAGCAGTAGATAACTCAGACCCAAAAAGCACATGGATATCAGACCGAGAACCAGAATCAAATTTGGTATATGGGTCACAACATTGGAGATAACACGACCCATAGAGGATTTGGTCGGGTGATGTGGAGAGTAGTAACCGGGAGTCCGGTCCTCATCATCAAACCGATTACTAGCGAAATCCCTGTCCATATCATCGGAAAGCAGTGTCAGATCCGGATGAGGTTGAGTATGCGTACTTTTGTTCGCTGAACGAGGAGGAGTGAATAGAAGGCTCGTGGAAGTGGCTGTGCCCGTATCGCGGACGGACCCTTGAGGACTGAGTGAGGTGGGAATAGAAATAGTAGGCTTGTGAAATAACAAAAGGGAGGTGTGGAAGATAAACGGACGAACACAAGGGGGCGATTGAGGTGGGCAACAGGTAGCAAGTTTGTTCAATTGGTCTAGCAGTTGGTATATATATATATATATATATATATATATATATATATATATATATATATATATATATATATAAACAATCTGTGGTACAGATTTTGTGCCATCGGAACCATGGCTGAATAGGAAAACAATATGAATAATAAGAAGGAGCAACAACAACAAGAGCATTTTTTTGTCTATTTTACCACTCAGTTTTTGAAATTTTTTTCAGTTTTTTAGGGAGAGGATGAAGGGACACCGCAACACACCGATGCACACGTCCGCCTTTGACATCGATCTTGAGCCATGGCTTCCAAGGTCTATAACCAGCAAGTATCTGCATCTCTCGGACCCCAACCAGGTAGTCGACAACAACCGGCCGCCACCACACACGGGCAATGGACCGCAAACAGCGGTGCTCGAAGACGGATAGCCTGCGCAAGTCATCCTTACGAATGGACCAGGTCTCGCATCCGTACAACAGTACAGCACGAACAGTTGCACAATAGACCCGCCCTTTGATGCATAGACGAATGTCGTGCCGACGCCACAAATGCCTCAGCCTAGAAAAAGCGAGGCCTGCTCTCGAGATGCGCATCGAAATCTCGTCTCCAACAGCCCCGCCAGCAGTGATGCAACTTCCCAAGTATACAAAGCTCTCCACAACCTATAGTGTCTCACCACCAAGAGTGAGTGCAGGTAGAGGCCTTGCATTTGGATGGCGAAAAGTACATACCGTACTTTGATGCTTCAATCGCCAAGCGGTTTAATGCAAGTTAGACGACGTGTGGATCGTCACCCAGCAAGACGATATCATCAGCATAATCCAAATCAACAACTCGACTACCTGGGAGGAGCTCAACGCCAGCGTTCAACGAATCACTGCATTCCAAGATCTGTTTCGCCCTTGATTGCACCCACCAGGTAGAGATACCAAAAGGGCACTCGAGTCCGGGACTTTCGATGTCTCCACTCCGAAGTCGTCAATTGGCGGTGGTTAACGCTTGTCATGACGGATAATCTGAATTCGATTAGTTCGTGTCTTCTCAATCAGTTGCTTACAGACAAACAGTGGAAGGATTGAAGGAGTGAAAACGAAAATGAAGCAACGGGGGAATCAAAAAAATATTAATTCAAGGTCATCGCCTGTAATGACGAAAGCAAGACGAGGCTGGCCACAAAGTCCAGCTGTTTGCAGAGGTTCGGATGTAGTCGCTGTATAGCGGAAGGCTAAGCAGATCGAAACAGACCCGGATTATGTTGCCTGTTGATAACCTTGAATGTGTTACGAGGGTTCTCGCACACGGTACAATCAAACAGATGCCAGGCGACCAAACTTACAGGAAACGTAAGGCCACATATTGCTAAGTTTCGTTGAACGCATCCCATGATCCTAGTTGATAGCCTCCTCTCGGTTCGGTCAACGGTTGTGGACTTATAGGACAGACTATGTTGAAACATAAGATGTGTGGGAATGGACTGTGACGCGCGATTACGATCTGCACCGCAGTTCACTTTGAAAGGAACCTCGGTCAATTCGGATTGCAGTGTTACGAGCTATCCACAACTCTGATCCGACGAGTATTCGGAAAGTGACCGATTTCTTTCCGATCACTGTACGAAAAAAAGCTATGACAGAACAAACTCTGGACGGAAAGCGGACAGTCAAAAATTGGCAGCACTTATTCATGATGTTTCCCGTCGAATCCCAATTCTCATTCCTATTGATAACTGCCTCTGAGCGATTGTTCAGGCAGCATCCGATATTGACTAAACCTATGGAACCTTCTTGTAGTGCCTTAACATATCAACATTTGTGGCAGAAAATATGTGTTGCGCGCGCAAGAGCTACCAGAACGCGATAAGGATGAAGTGTTGTCAGAATCAAGTGCTAGATAAGGTTTTCGCACCTATGTTACCCTTTTTCCCCGACTTTACAGCCTTCGTTTTCCGCACACAGACTTCCCTCCGATATGGAACGGAAATCGGACACACAGAAAAGCTTACCCATACTCGAGACCACTTATAGGCAAAAGCTTTTGTTATGCAATGCGGCATAATTCCGATCGGTCAGGCAACATTCAGTGTAGCATTTAACGGTGTTAAACGCCTTTGTTTTCCACACAATCATTCCAATGCGGAAGCGGAGGAAAGCCGGACAGTTGACCGTCTGATGGAGCTGTGTTGGTTAGCTAACATGTATGCCCTGTGCTGAGGCTGATGTTTCATTCATGATGCACCTATACCGCAGTTGGGTGAAACCAACTTACACTTAAACTAGGTCTTTATAAGCTGGACAAATTTCACTCCACTTTCTTTGGTTCGTCCTCTCTTTGTGAATAATCTTCTATTAACTGGCCACGTTGCTTACGCTAATTGTGGTTACCTTTGTTAACTTTATTGTGTTTGTAGCATTTTTGAGTAACTTTTAGACATTCGGTATTTATCGCCGATTTGTTGCTAACCAACTTACTCCATCATAGTATAATTTAGCGAAGAGTTATGTTAGCATAGCCGTATGCTATAACCGATAATTTTTATTTGATAATGCCATTTCAAGTGATTGACTGTTGTTTGACATCCCCAGTGTGGTTGCGCTTGATGTGCATGTTGACAAGGTGCCTACCTGTCTATTACCCACTACCTCGTCCATACTGGCTCCAGGAGACAGTTGGTCGTTGCTGGATGGGACGAGGTCCAGGGTCCTCGTGGTCGTGCTAGGCTCAAAGAGTGGTTCCATGCAGTCAGTGTGGAGCGGACTACGGTCCAGCCACCGTCTTGTGTGCGCTTGATTCCCAAATACAGTGTGCTTGTGTTTGCCTGTGAAGGAGTGTGGGCCGGCTCCGTTGATGAAACGTGGTTCCCATCCGCATGCCTCCCGGTCTTATTCCTTCGGGTTTACACTGCATATGGGGTGTGTTGTTGGAGCTGTGGGTGGTGCAGCGCAAGCCACCCATGGTCCCTCTGTAGGCGCAGGCGTCCTGTGGCTTGCCACAGTGACAGGCAAATCCGAAACCGGATGCCACCAAGCATGTGCTTCAGTAGGCGGGAGATCCCCTGGTGCGCTGAGCATTGTAGTGACGAAATCATGACAGATTGTCAACCTGCTGCTCCCAACGCTGTGCCGTTGGCTCACGTCCTGAACGCCTACTCGTGGCGACCGCTGGGTGGAAGTTGGATTACATACATCTTCTAGCTAAGAGCCAGGAGATAACTCCGCATGGGTCCGTTCACTGACTCATAGCGCCAGAGTGTGTACTTTATCAAAGGATTTGGCGGAAGACCCGAGTCGTTTCCTTGTCAGGTGTGGACTCCCTGGCAATATCCAAGTCCAACCTCCAAAATATGAATTAGGCCAATAGTAATAAATCCATGCTGCATCGGCCGGCGCGCAAACGCTACTGGAAAAGGGTCGCACTATCTGCTGCATACATCAGGCTCCTCCCTTTTTCTACTTCTCCTCCATATACTCTCCCCGTCCCCGTTTCACCTAAGCCACTACTTAATCCAATTCAGATCGTCAGCACTCATACGGTTGCCCGCCAACATAATCGCATACCTCCGTGCAAAGCGTTAAACATCGGGTGCTGGAAGGTGTGCACTTTGCTCGACCGGAATACGAGTGAACGTCCTGAGCGACGCAGTGCACCGGTCGTGATGGAACTGGCGTGCTACAACATCGATATTGCGGCACTCAACGAGATTCGGCTCGCTGAACAATGTAAGTCGCATGATCCTAGTGACGAGTATACGTTCCACTGGGTGGGCAACACCATCTCAGCACCACATAATCATGCGGTCGGATTGGCATTATCCGATCACCTCCACGGCCAGCTGGTGGGTGAGCCCACTGGCATCAGCGCGCGACTGATGACTCATCGCCTACGAGTCGGAAGAGGTAAGTCTGCCACTTTATAAGCACGTACGGTCCAATCACTTGTTATCCTAATGACAGCCTGTGCTGAGGAGCGACCAACTATTTCTGCTGGGTGATTACAACGCGCGCGTTGGGCGTGATGCATCGGCGTGGACAAATGTCATCGGTCCACATGGTTCAGCGAATGCGAACGGTGATAGGCTGCTCTCACTGTGCCACCCACGGCCTGACGATCAGGAACACTCGGTTCGCACTGATTGTGAGTGATACAGCAATTTGGACGCACCCACGCAGTGGTCACGCTCATCTGCCCAACTATATCATCGTACTACAGCATAACAAGCGTGAAATGCTCATTACGCGTGCACTGCGTGGAGCTGAGTGTGGCACTGATCACTAATTGGTGCGGAGTAAATTGTACATCTATGTGCGGAAAAATACATATTGTGTGCCTACCGAGAACCGGAGGAGTAAATATCACATTCCCTCGCTACTGTGGAGAAACGTATTGAGCTGGAGAAGGGGATGGCTGTACGCCTGTGTGATGTGGAATGCATAGTCACAGTGGGCGACCTGTTGCACCACATTCTCGACCAAGTGACAGCTGCTGTCGAGAAGACCATCGGGCGCGCAAATTGTAAGCGGCCCGATTGGTTTGATGAGAGTAATGCGACAATTGGCGCATTGGTGTCGGAGAAGAATGCAGCATTTGATGCATATGTGACAGACCGCAGTGACTTGGGGAAGAAGAGTCAGTTTCGAAAACTTCGACGGCGACTGACTCGAGATCGCCGTAATGAAATTGCATGGTGGACGGCGAAAGCGAAACAGATGGAATGCTACGCCGAACGTCGTCAAAACAAGGAATTCTTTGACTTCTTGAAGGCGGTGTAAGAACCGAGGTTGGAGACGCTGAGAACGCTGCACGATGGTAGTTCAGGCACTGCATGCACACAGGCGCTTTCTTCACAGACTGCAGACATAATGCAGATCTGGCGAAATCATTTGGATTGTCTCTTAAA